GGGGGGGGGGGGGGGGGGGGGAGGCTCCGGTGTGGCGGAAGGGGCCTGAGGGGTCGGGAAGCCGAGAGAAGCACTCGTGTATCGCGATTTGCGCGCGACCGAGGCCTTTTTCCTTTATCCCCTTTGCCCCTGCCAGCGATTCTACGATTGTCGTTGCCGGCGTTGCGAACTTTTTGCGAGGCCCCGCGATTTATGGCTACCGATGCCAGGAGGCAAGGGACCTTTTTCTTTTCTCCTCGATGTCGATGCCAGCCTAATTATATGACCGCGCGCCGGCACCGGATGATAGGCTAATGCACCACGTGGACTTTTCGCGGAGGTGGCTTCGGGCGCCCCCGTCCCCCCATACCCCCATACCATCTTACCACTATCCGACCATCATCTCCTCCTCCTCCTCCTCACCCCCCCCCATACCGCCCAACCAACCACCACCAAGCACCCCCACCACCCTCACCCCAAACAAAACCTCCCCACCCAAGACTCCTCACCCGCGCACACGCACCCACGTACACGCGCAAAAATACCAAAAACATAAAGAGGCGCGCACGAGAAAGGGAGAGCGTCCCTCGCCCCATCCCAACAATGGTCGACAGGTGCTGCCTCCTGGGCCTGAGAACACGACGAGGGAATGACCAACTTATCCCGGAATCACATTTCTCAGCGGTGTTTCGCGCTACACTGGAGTGAGAATCAATTCCCGCGCACTCGGGGATCACATTCCTCGGCCGTGCTTGGCACAGGGGCCGGGATTCGATGCTTTTTATTTCGAATAAACGGACTTTTTCCGGGAGGACTGTGTGTGAATTAGTCATTTTCTCGAAATTCGAAATACCGATTCGCGGATCTGATGATCCCAGAGTGAAAATCGTGCGGCGAATGGCACGGCAGTGACTATTTTCTTAAGCGCCTACAAACGTTCGCCTAGAGATAGCATCTTCCGCCCTTATCCAAGCCATTAAAAAGTCTTTTTCCCTCAATTTAATATCTATCAAATAGTATCTTTCTTTCTGTAAATGCTAAATTAGCTACTTTCTCTGAATAACTTCTCGCAACTTGATCGATTCTCAATATCGAGGAGATACTCGTCCACCCCGTTGAATATATGGCCCTTCAATATTTTATCCAAAGCCGTTCCTCTTCATTTACAAACGTTTCCCTTAACCTCATCGTGTAATTAAAAAGTCTCTATGCATGATTACGATCGTGAACTGTACGTTTTCTTACATTTGCCTGATAATTATGTTGAAGGATAATTCTTATTTCATCGAATCATTAGCTCGCAGAATTTCTTTCATTCGCCAAGCCAATACACAAAAATGCTGAATGCGAGGTAGCGGACTGAAAAGTTATCATATAATTAAAATCAATTTATTTGCACTTTTTCGAGAGCTTTAGTTTTCTCCCGTCTCGTGCCAAAATCGTTTCAAGCCCCTCGATCGCTCAACAAATTGGAAGCAAAAAATTAACGCGCTCCCCATGCTTTCTAATGAATATTTGATGTTTTTTCTTAAATAGTGCAAGCTATGCAATTACTGTCAGCTCAAGACATGCCACAATAACTAAAGTAACGGCTATAATAACTACTACCCCTTTAAGAACTATTATTGTTACTCCATAAATCAACTTTATCTTCATTGCTATATTTTAAATAATAATAAGATATTCCTGACAAGTCTTTCGGCTCGATATTCGCGAGATATTCCTTTATGCGATGAGTTGCACAATTCGCGAAAAAAGTACGCTCTTTTAATATTAACAAGTAGTCTGACTGAACAGAGAGCAACAATCGCGTAATACGATATTCAAGCACATACTTAACTCTTATTAAAAGAAAATTAATCGAGTCTCATGGCTAGCCAGATGCATTTCGTACATAGTCCTGTTTTTTTTCTTTCTCTTCACCTTCCCAGTAACATTAAATTGTAATTGTAATACTAATCGCCGTAATGATACACAGATATTGCACTAACATTTACGTCATTGACAAGCTAATGTATCTATATATATATACATACGTATATATATATACATACATAAAAGAGAGGGAGGGAGAGAGAGAGAGAGAGAGAGAGAGAGAGAGAGAGAGATGAAATTCCTACGGCTTACGTAAATATTTGCACAAACGACGAGGGCTTTTGTCTTTCTTCTTTTACAAATTTACCCGTTTTCAAGTATGGCTTTTCATTAGTTTTGATCAACACTGAATATCTAACCGAATTTATAATATATAACCGTTTACCCCTGGGATATCCAAATTTTCGTACTCTGAGAACAAAATTGGATTGGCAATATGTAATTGCTTTGGTATTCTAAAGATAAACATATAGTGTAAGCAAACGGCACACGAAACATCGATTAGATTGAATATTTAAATAAGAGTCGGCTTAAAAACTATAAATTATTAAATAATGAAATAATGGTTTTAGTGATATCAGCATCGGGCGGATGGGAGCACTTTAATGTACAAATTGGATTATTGAATAGCGCCTCCGAGGATAAATAATCCGAGATTTATTTAACCGGGGGCAATGTTAAAATTCAGAATAGCATTTGGGGCAGACGGGGTCTGTGCTTCACCTCGCTCCCCGCTCACCCAACCCAACCCCCTCCCACTACCACCGTGGATACCGATACACCGTAAACGTAAAGCTCCGGCTAATTATTTCGATATTGCAAAAGCAACGTTGGAAAAAGTAAGGGTGCGAGGGGCCTGTCAAGTACCGGTGACCTATTTTAATAAAAATCGGCTGCGTTTCGCAATCCCCTAGGCGCTAATTAAAGCTACCGGGAAGCGGTCGAGAACGTCGTGGTAACACTCACCTGAAGCACGTTGGCGCCGATGCTCGCGTTCTCGGCGATGCTCGCCGAGTAGTGGCGTGGGTCGAAGAGGGGCGAGTTGTCATTGTCGTCGAGGACGTGGATTCTGATGCTCTGCAGGCTCGACCTCGGGGGCTCGCCCCGGTCGCGCGCCCTCACCCTCAGCGTATAGTTGGATCGGCGCTCGCGGTCCAGGGGCCCGGATACCCGGAGCACCCCGTCCACGGAGCCAAGGGCGAACGGAAGCTGCTCGTCACCGGGCTCGAGCCCGTACTCGACGTAGCCGTTACGGCCCTCGTCACGGTCCACGGCCTTCACCGCCATCACCACGGAGTTCACGGCCGCGCCCTCGGCGACGCTCGCCTCCGAGGCCGAGACGAACTCCGGCGCCTGGTCGTTCGCGTCCGTCAGACTCAGCATCACCTGGGGCGATAGAAACACACGCCACTATAGTACGACTGTCTGCCGTCTTTGCCCCCGGGGAACGTTCCTCCGCAATGGTAGCGCCAGTGCGTTCCTAGAGGACGTTTTACGAGAACGGGCAACTCGATGGGGTAATCAAACGGCAGTAAAAGACTTTGTGGTAGGACTTGTGTGCTGACGATGATGTGGTGGGAGGGGTGAGGGGAAGTGGGAGGGTTAGACTGGGATAGATCGGATGCCGAGGCATTTAGAGGGAAATCAGGTATTTATGCGCGGATGGAGTTTGGAAAATACCGTGGAGTTTTATGTTGAGCGCGTCGCCTGGCGCGGTAATGGTATGCGCTAGTCAAAAGGAAAAGTAGTCAGAGTCGTGGCCGTTGCTGTCGATGTCGTGGCCGTCGTCACCGGGGACATAAAGATCGGCAATATTCGGAATTGCGCGTCGATGCCGAAATCTCGGGATTTTTGTTAGTATTTTTTCCGGGACACGCGATAAGAAATCAATAGAGCTACATTTACGGGCCAATAAAACTTAACGACCACTGCAAGATGAGAGTATTGGAAAAATTAAAAGGCAGATTTGAATAGGATATTGTCTTATAAATAATATGAATTAACGCGAGGTGCGTCTAATTGCAATGAGTCACGTGTACTATACCGAAGAACTCTAGCGTTTTATGGGACAATAATGGCGGAGAATTTTTGACTTGTCTAACTCCTAATCCTCCGTGCACAAAGAAATTGCTTTATTCAGCGGTCGGTCGTCGTTTTTTCTCTCTCTCTCTCTCTCTCTCTATCTCTCTCTATCTCTCTCTCTCTCTCTCTTTTTCTCACGAATCTCTCTTCTCTCTCTCTTTTTCTCACGATTCGCAACCATACGATTTCTCTCTTGCACGTGGGATGAATGCGAATATTACGAGACTTAACGACAATACGAGGTCTAAAAACGATATCGACGTATGAAAAAAGAAAACAAAAAAACAAGTCTCTCGAGCTAAGCTCGACAATCGAGTAATCCGTGTAATTACATTTTCCCGGCATAAGGATTTTTGCTCCATTATTTCTCATTACATAAACAGGCAACCAAGAATTTTTATAATCAAAAAATAAATGCAAGAGTATCAAATGCCGGGCCGTAGCCTTCTTAGCCGCAAATTTCATATCTCAATTATTATCGTGCCAGTACCGTTTTCATATAAAAAGGTCCTTAACAGCTCGACTCTATTACTCTTAATTGTATAAATTATAGCAAAAAAAGAAGGAGCGCAAGAAGTCCGTCGACCGCCCTTTTGCCGTTCACTCGTATTTCATTTATTATTTCCGCGCGCTCTCGTAACCAAATTCGATTAACACTCGTTGCGATGGCGTAAAGCGCACCGCCGCGGGTCGGCCAAAATACGAGAAGTCTTCTCCCCCCCTCCCCCGCTATAACCCCGCCCCCCTCACCGCCCCCACTCGTCATTCGCTCTTTCCACTACCGCGCCCCAATCACTTCCCCGTTTTGCTTTTATTGGGGAGCGATCGTTGGCCCGTCGCACGAGAGGACCCGGGACTCAGGGTCCGTTGGTTTGTGGAATAGTCGTAGGAGGCGAAGGACAGCTCACCTGGATGCTCGTGGCGAGGGGCTTCCCCGGTGACCTCGGACTGTCCGACGCTTCGAGTACGAGGCTGTAGGTTGCCTTGGTCTCCCGGTCGAGGGCTCGCCTCGTGTAAAGGGTCCCGTTATTCGCAATGCCAAAGTCCTCGGTCTCGTCGCCGCTCAGTATACTGTAGATGACGTGGCCGTTGTCGCTCGAGTCCAGGTCGCGCGCCCGCGCCGACAGGACCGCCGTGCCGACGGTCGCGTTCTCAGGGACGTCCGAGGAACGGGGCCCGGGCTCGAAGCTCGGCGCATTATCGTTGAGGTCGACGACATTGCAGTAGACGGTGACGGTGGAGGAAAGACTCGGTATTCCGCCGTCCGTCGCCTGAACCACCAGGATGTAGTGCTGGACCTGTGGATGGATTGCCGGATCTGTTAGATTTAGATTTTCTGATCGAGGTTGCGATAAGAATGTATGGTGGATGGATCGCGTTAATCATTACAGCCTCCGTGCTTCTCTTATGCTTCGCCCCAATACTGGCGACGGATTTTCGTCGAGTCAGTTTTCGCGGTGACTTTGGCGTAATTTGCATAACTACGTCTCGCGTATAATAAACATCGATACTCGCTATCTTAACTCGGACAGTTTACCTATAATTAGAATGCAAGTACGCGTTGTTTCTCTGTCCGTTCTTCATTTAAACCGCTTTGAGTGCCTAGCGCAAGGGATATTTTAAAATTAATATTTATAAAATGACGATGGAGAAGAAATTAATACATTCCACCTTATTACTGAGTCATCAAAGCAATCGTGAAAACTAACTTAATGAAAGATCCTCGCGATAGCGATACATGTACTGGGACAAAAAACGTTACATTTATTAATAGTTAATGATATTGAATAACTATCGACGAATATTCTTAATACTTATCGAATAATCTTAAGAATTAATAAATGTCGTCGAGCACGGGGAATCCTCCACTCTCATTGTGTACAAGTAAACGAGGTTCCAATGTTTTTAATTAATAAGTTTTCAGTTGCAAAGGGATTAGCCATTGGGAGATTATTTTTTCTTTCTTTCTTGACAAATTGATATTTTGCTCGCATCACAAACAACGTACTTTGCAATAAAATAATTTATATTTTACAAGATAGCGTAATGGGAAAGGCAGGCTCGCTGCTTTTCTATTTATTATAGTCTCATTTACGAAACATTCGTACGTTATAAATGAAAACAATAGCTGCTTTACCTTATATCGTCTCTGTATTTTCTCCGATAAATTCGGAATATTACATTTTGCTGGGTAATCGATCTCTAAAGATCTTACTACGCTCCCATCGCGCTCCCATTTAAATCACACAAACTTATAAATAGTTATTCATGCAAAAAACATGGAGATGTATAAGAAAGATTATTCATATTCATACGGACGTACATAGATACGCGGATACGTATGTACATATTTAACAAGTATTTCAGATGTCTGAGATAACTCCCTATCAAAACGAAAAATGACAATTGATCGTCTAAAAGGGATTAATGTAAATTAGTTATCCCCATTTATTTATGTTGATTGATTACAATCGCTCATTATAAGTTTGGTCATTCGATGTAAAAATGCCAAGTGCTGTGTTATACAGCCGTGGAAAGTCTTTAAAATTTACTTTCATCAAAATAAAGATTCTTAAACTTGAAACCGGAAAGTTCGTAAAGTCTGATAGATTGTATTTAATATAAACTTTCCCCCATGGCATCATAAATAATATCTGTCGTTTAGTATACTTAGAATATAAAAGAAGAAATTTCACTACACTCTCGTATAATAAACATGTTTAATTATAATTATTAGGCATGATTAATAAAATGAAGGCGTACTATTAAGCGCGTGCGTGTGTGAGCGCTTGCGTGTGTGTAAAAAAAATATTTAAATTAAAACTTCTTCATACGGGTGAAGGATACGCAGATCGATTAAAAAACACGTAATTTTTATTATTTCTAAACATATTTCTGACATAAAAATTCTTTATCGTAAGTATAAGAAATACAATTAATTTTAATTTGCATCCTCGTATACGTTATGAAAATATTTGAGTTAGAGTCTATACATTTTAAAGCAAATAATATTGTATTTGCAATTTACAGCAAAAGTTATACCACTTTGGCAATTAAAATGTAAATCTAGCATACAATTAACCCAAGTGCATTCTGGGAAAATAAATACATTTGTCTAAAATCTAATATAAAGGGAATCGGTTAAAAAGATTTAAACAAAAAACAAAAAAACAAAAAACAAAAAACAAAAAACAAATAAAATATAAATAATGAAATTAAACAAAACAAAGTTTACAAATACATAGATTTACGTTTTCCGGAAATGGTATTTGGCTAATATCTTGGAGGAATATCCGGAAATATGAAACTTCGTGCAAAATCTCGGAGCTCGGAAGGTGAATAGTCCATGATGCATAATGTATAAAAGGGCAGAATGAATAATAATAACGGTAGGGAACTTGTAAATATAATTTGGACTTTTGGTAAAAGTTATCTTGCGAGCGATGTATCCGAGAATCGGGAGTCGGGCTTCGGCATAAAAACTTTCATATCTGCATGAAACGATTACACATAATTGACCCGATTATTCAAAACAGGTACTTCTAAATGTCAGGCCGAGATCTATAAATTAAATAAGATACGAAAGCGAATGCCCAGGTGAAATTTCGACAAAGCCATAAAACAAAAGTATCAATCTGCAAAAAATGCACATATACACGGGCGCCCCTCAACCATGTGATGCCCGCGTAAACCATGTGATTAGAGCTGAAATACTCGACTTAAAACCATCAAAGCGCATTCGGCCTTTTTCCACACGAGCCGTAATTTAGCCTTCGGAAAGTCTAAAAAGCCACCCGCCGAACTTTCTCGCCGACAAATTCCCTACATTAGCGCATACAGGGTGTCTCAATGTCGGGCTCTCCTTCCTCCCCCTCCCCCACCCCATCCCCACCCCACCACAAACACACAAACACACACAAACACACACAACCCTATCACTTATCCACCACCAACCCCCATACCCCGCTACACTCTACATTATCGACTAGTCAAGGATTACGTTGCAGCGGATATGCAAACGCGGCTCCGCACAATCCCCGTATGTCAGCTAATGAGCGGCTTTTGGTAGGAGTGGGCGATTCCAATAGAACGTTACTCCAGGCGATGGCTTTGCTCCAGCGAATTAGACGTTCCCCTCGGCCCGCTACCCATCCCAATCCCATCCCCTGCCGCGATGCCAAATCAACCGCCGCAGCCATCATCGGCACCCTGCGCAGTCCGCGCAGGAGCCACTCTCAGGTAAACGAATTCGTATTTACTTTTTGCCGTAAGCTCGATAATTTAGAGCGCGGTGCGCGGTGCGCGAGACGGCCTAGAAAAAAGTGCAAACGGTATTTTAACGAAAAGCCCCGTAAATTTTTTCTTTTTTTTTGCCTTCGCCGCCGTGGCTGCTTTTGTTTCGCGAGAGCCGAAGCCGGAATAATAAAAACGTAATTGCACGGAATTATTCGGAATTGCTAAGCAGGAGGAGGTGGAGAAAAAACGGCAGAGAAAGCCAAAGAGAGAGCGAGAGGGAGAGAGAGAGAGAGAGAGAGAGAGAGAGAGAGAGACGGGTAGCGGAGATGGTCGGTGGGTGGAGAGAAGGGGGTCGGGGCAAAGAAATTTGTGTTTTATGTAAGCGCTGAGCGACGCGCTCGAAGAAGTCCCTTCGGACGTTTGAGAGCTCCCCGCGAGCCAGACCAGACCAACGGCCCCAAGATGTCGAATGATGACCCATCCAACGGCACCCGGCGTTGCTCACTCTACCTCCCCCCCCCCATCCCCCTCCCCACGAACCTCTACCGGGCTCCAGCCCCGAGTACGATTAGACGCGGAAAAAGCCGACTGCCCGTGCCGGCAGGTTTACGAGCGCGCGTAAAGCGTGAATTTTCCCCGCATGCGTGTGCATATGGACGCATACGTAGTTGGGGGCCGGACCTATACTTAGAGGGTCCGGGCGGACCCCGATCGTTTGCCTTCCGAGATCTCGCGAGGATTCTACCTGTATATTCTTCTCGGCGGCGCGAGTACGAGCAAACCGTGTTATTTATTTCTGCGTTTCGATTCTTCCTCTCTCTCCCTCGGTATTGCTCCCTACACCCGTCAAACGATAGCCCTGAGACGATTGTTCGCATACAGGGTGTTGGAGAAACATCGCCTGGGTGAGTGGAGGCTGCATTACACCGATATTACGGGAATTCGCCATTATGATGAGTTTTGGCGAATGCGCTCGAGATTGGGACTATTTGTTTGCACTCGTACAATTTGTTCGTTGGTGCGACTTATTTTAACGAGGACTGATAAAATGTCGGAGTGACATACGATATTTTATGAATTACGATACGGATGCGATACGGATACGATACGGATACGATACGGATACGATACGGATACGATAGGAGCGTTTATCAAAGATTGACGAATTTTATTCTGGCGATACATTTTAAGGATCGTGTATTGCGAGGACTTAGCCTCGGGCATTTCATAAATATTATTATTGCACGTTATTCAATAAGTACATACGTAACCAATTTATTTATACTATAAAATAATGATTTTTTCAACAATAATAAATTTTATATGTTTGCGCATTATATATTTTATGAATTTGTTGGCTCGTGTCTCGGTGGCATTATATAAACAAATGTTTTAATTTTAGTCTTTCAATGTTCTACGCTTAATATTGAATTTTCGTAAATATTTCAGATTGGTATTAAATTATAAAAATGGGGGAGGGTGGGGGGAGGAGGTATAATTTGATTGGATTTCCTTGGACTATACGATTGATCTAAAAGCATTAATGATCAATCATTTATATTAATTCATAAATTTAAAAAAAAGAATTAGAATTTTTCTTGGCGCTAAATTTTAGTTTTTTTTTTTTTTTGTTTTTTTTTTTTTTTGTAATTCGAAGCACTCGTTGCTTAAGCATGAATAATACTTGCAGCGGCATTTTTGGTTTGAATTTTTTGCACTACTTTCACTTCACGTTCAAAAAATCATGTTTTTATATAAGCTACCGTC